ATTAGTTGTCTTCACAGTCTACCCTGATTGCCTTCCAGAATGAAGACATCTAAGACACCTCTGGATTCACTGTAACTCACTCTTCCCATTCTTTTCCAACTATGTTGTTCTATCCTGGTTGTTTCTGTGGTCCATCAGTGTGGAGAAATAGCCTACAATACCATTCGACAGAAAATCTTGTGTGACAAAAACAAAAAACTAGCAACCCAATCAGAGATAGCCTATAATCTCATTAGATACAAAAGCAATTCCTAAAGGATGTTTTGTAAATACCCAGGGCCCTGCAGATCACTGAGCTGCCTCAGTGATTCTGAGTGGCATGTTTGCAGAACTGGGAGGATAGTCACTGAGAGGGACATGAAGGGTCTCAGTATTCTCCATTGTCAAGTCAAGCAGGATAGCTCTTTTCATGTGTGTGTTACATGTTAGTTGTTCTTCAGAGTTCTTTTTTCTTTTTTTAAAGAAAAGACTCTCATAAAGGAAAATTTTAAAAAATCAGATAAACTCACAGTTATCTATGAATCTCTAAAGGCCCCTCTAGTTTTATATATTTAGTGGTTTCTTGTGATATTTATATATCCCACCTGCTGATTTACTTTGTCCTCTGAGATGAGACCAGGATGTCAATCTGGGACAGAAATGCCTTCCATGCTTTGATGCAAAAGCAGTGTAGCCCTGTAGGATGTGGGTCTATTGCGCCACATTTTGTTCAAACAAGTATGATGATGAGAACAGGCAGGGCCGGGCATTTAGCTCAGTGGTGCCGCCGCCTGCCTCGAAAGTGCAAGGTCCTGAGTTCGATCCCCGTACTAAAAAAAAAAAAAAAAGAAAAAGACAGAAGCAGGAAAAAAATGTGGTTTGTATGCCACTAGCTTAACGCCCCTGCATTTTAAGTGAAGCAAGCTCCTTCAGTCCTGCTGTAGGGCAGCAGCAGCACATGGAGCTCCCATATTTTTCTGTGGCTTTTGTCTGAAACAGTATGGCAGCAACTGCAGAGAAACAGAGGGAGGCCCAGATGCTGCTTTTTCTAGTTTCAGGGCTATCTAATAAGGACCAAAAGGAGCAAATGTATCCAGCTAGAGGTGGCCAGCAATTTATTTACCCAGTTAGCCTTGGGGGGCTCTAGACCTCTTTTAGCACCCAACACTACATACATTTGTTTCAAGGGACTGTGTTCTTTGGGCTGGTGGTGGTTTGGATTACATGGTGTCTTTCTCTAACATAACTCTCTGTGTAGGTATTTATGAGTTGGAAGAAGGGAGAATAAGACATGAACAAACATTCAGTTTCTAACAACTTTTGCTAATGTATTTGAAATTATTGGGTAGTGTATTTATCTGGAGCTGTACATTACCTTTTACTTTTCATATAAAACTCAAGACTTCAAATAATTTGACTGAACACAAGATTAAGGAAAAGAAAGGATAAATGTCTTACTGTCTTTGTCACCCAACATATTCTTTAAAAAATGATGAAAACCCCTTTTAGAACACACAGAAAATGGGCTGGGGATATAGCTCAGTGGTTCTGCCCCCTGCCTCGAAAGCGCAAGGTCCCGAGTTCGATCCCTGGTACCAAAAAAAAAAAAAGAACACAGAAAGAATCAGGGTAGTATGAGTCTTTTGAATAATTTCCTTCTTTGGAGAGAATGAAGATCTGAGTGGAGGGTGTGTGGGGCAGGGCTGCTCAGAGACAGCTATTGAGATGCAGCAATGCCAGATACAAATCCATGGACTTGTCAAATTCATGGAGTATTAGAATTAGAGACCATGATGGTTAGTTTTGTGTGTCAGCTGTTTGCATGTTACTGTGAAAGTCTTTTTAAAGACACGATTAACATTTAAATCAATAGTCTTGAAGTGATATATTTCCCTCATTAGGGGTGGACCTCATATAGTCAGCTGATACAGTCTGGACAGAAAAAACAGGTTCCCTAAGCAGAAAGGAATTCTATCTCCAGATTTGTTAAACTCAAGGTTATAACATCAACTCTCACTAGAAATTCCATGCTATCCTTTATATTTACGACTTAATCCTCGTAATTCCATGAGCCAATTCCCTAAAAAACTTTCCATATGTACATACTACCAGTTATAATATAGTCCTTTTTCTTCTTAGGTGCTCTTAAAGAGTACGTAGAGAATTGTGTAGCTGCTTATGGACCAGGTTGACTCAGCTTTCTTTTCCTTTTTGTCATAGCTGATAATAGAAATGGCTTGTGGTAAAGGCCTGTTTCTTCTTGAATGAAATCATATTTCCTTTATGCTCTTTCAGCTCAACCTGCTGTTAGGGGTTAGGTTGATTTTCCATTGTAGGTTTCTAATCATCCACTTTTGTAAAATGTTAGAGCTAGGAGTTCCCCTGAGAATCAACTTAACTTCAGTTTTTAATAGGTAAGAAAACAGAAGCTAAGAGAGGTAGAAATCCACCCAATAGTGAAGGAGAATTAGAACTGAACTTCCTTGAATGTCTGATTAGTAATTCCCTTGCTCATTAGAACTTCTGCCTTTATCATTTTTGTTACCTCTTTCCCCTAAAATAGCTCTTTTCCTTTTATATTACCATTTCTTTGTGTTAGCTGTATCTGACTTTCTTTCTCATTCTTCAGGCTGACTTGTCCAGTTATAAATCTCCTTTCACCTAGGTCAGAGATTTCCCACATTCATTCTGGTACCAACTCACTCAGAAGGGGTTGGCTTTCAAAACAGTCTTGGTCCACTCCTTACAGGACCAATTACTGAGACAACAAATGAAAATTTTTGCTTGCAAAGAATACATTAAAGGTACAGAATTCTGATTTTTCCCACATGCCACTGGTAGTTGCTTTTCAAATTTCCCAGTTATCCTGAACTTGAAATTTAATCTATCAGATAGGGTTTTTGTTAATTTTGAGCCACACACAAATTTATCTGAGTTCCAGATTCTATTTTCAGTAGTGCTCTCAATTTACTTTACTCCAATTTAAAGAATACTTCCGACTCCCTATATTACAGCAATAAAATCTGAAATGCAAATTCAGAGAAATTCAACTAATGGTGATGCATGGGCCCGTTTCCACCTTTTCTCATCTGGCAACTCTTCTCGTTGTAGTCAGGTTCCTTTCACTCCTCCACATGCTGTTTAGCCCTTTACCACTTTCCTAAGCCTCTGACTCCACCTCTTCCTTCTGTGTCGCAGAATATAAAAGGAGCCACATAAGAACTTTTTGCCTTTCTCTCCAGTGAATCTCCTTCAAAAACGTTCATCTGAACTCGGTCATTAAATGAGGACTGCCTGTATTATCGCATTCTTTTCAGAAGTAGGTTGTGGGGTAGTTCATTTGAAGCAGTGGTTTGCTAAGTACTGTGCAGCCTAGCAGCATCAGCATCACCTGGGAATGTTAGATGATTTTTTGAAGGCTACCCTTCACTTGATTCAGGAACTATGGCGGAAGGCTTGGTAATGTGTATGTTTGATGAAACTCAAAATTTAGAGTCACTGGTTTGGAAGAGAAATAGAGAATGCACAAGTGTGATTTATCAAAGGCTTGAAATAGTCATGGAGGTAATTGGTCACAGGGAGAGGGGCTGAAGATTTGAAGACAGCTACTGACATTATTCAGATCACTCTTGAAAATTAAAATTTATAAAGCTTTTTTTACAAATCTAGAATGAGAAAAAGACAGACAGAAAGACACTTTCTTGGTCTCTATTTCCTCTCCAGAAAAAAAAAAAAAAACCAAACCTAAAACTGAGACTGTTAAATTTTGAAGAGTTTTAGTGACTATGACAATTCTTCTAGCACAATATTAAAATGAGTCAACTCTCAAAACACCCCTTATTTTGTAATCTGCCTCTGATATTCTAATTTTTAGTATATTTGATGCCGAAGCAAGCACAATCTGCCTCTGATCTTTTGAACCCTTGTTTCCTAGTTTTAAATTACCACAAAAACATATATATTACTTACGAAAGTCATTCATAAAAGTATTCACATTCACAATGCTAACCACAAGTGACCTTCAATACTTTATTTTCCTTTTTGTTTTTAAAAAGCCAATTTAAAAATATTCATAAAAATTTTCTCTTATTAGCCCATACTTGAAACAACTCTAATGTCCATGAACAGATAAGTGGAGAAACAGATTATAATACACTCATACAATGAAACATCAGTCAGCAAGAAAAGAGAACGAACTATTAATTCTTGAGCTAACATGAATGAATTCCAAAAGCATAGAGTTGAGAACAAAAGCCAGAGAACAATAGGGACGTACTGTATGAGTACTCATAAAATTCTAGAGTGGGCACACACTCAAATTTTGGTGATAGATATCAAAAGGGTGGAAAGAAAATGAGGAGTAAAGAGACTGGAAAGGAGATCTAAGGGAATGATGGCTATATAGTTGTATATACCTGTTAAAATTCAAACCAGTGTACCTACTGTATATAAAGTATACCCTATTTGTTTAGCAGTGCTGAAGATTGAACTCAGTCCCTCAGACACATTAGACAAGTTCTCTATCACTTGGCTTCACCTCCAGGCCTACATCCCAATTAAAAAAAAAATGTACATACAGCCAGTAGATCATAGGAAACTTATTTCTTGCATCTGGACTCTAGGGACACAGGGAGTATAAATATCAAAGATAATGTTAATAGTCCCACAAAAAATTATGAGATCCTTTTTTTTTTTTTCAGGGCTGAGGATCAAACCCATCCATGGCCTTGCACGTTAGGAAAGTACTTTACCACTGAGCTACATCTTCAGCATTATAATTTTTTTTTTTTTTTTTGAGATAGGGTCTCGCTCTGACATAGTTCAGGTTGGTCTTCAACTCCCTATGTAGCTCAGACTGGCAATTGCTATTCTCTTGCTATTCACTCAGCTTGCAGAGTGCTGGGATTACGGGTGTGCATCTCCGCACCTAGTAAGACAATTCTTATACCCCTAAACCAGCAAAACAAACCCTTAATGTAGTTCAACCATTTAAAAAAGGAGAAACTCTTACGAACACCCACTGAAGCTAGCAAATAACAAAATATTTATTTTATTGTTGTAAAATTAAAAATAGTAGACAAGCATATATTGTTACAGTTCCAAAGCAAGATACAAATATATAAATTATTGCAATTTCCAAAGAAAATATGACCAAATGTCTAGTTTTGAAACACTTAGTTTTTATCACAGCAGTTTCATTTTTTCTCCAAAAGTCTCAGCACAGTTTTATAAAATAAATTTCTAACACTGAAAAGAGACTAAATTCAATGACCAAAGCACATGGTACTTACATTGAAAGCAAAGTATGAATACATGTATGTGTGTACATGTAGACACACACACACACACACACACACACTTCTTTTGGGGGGAACTCATTCCATGGTTTTTTGTTTCACCTTAGAGAACTTAAAATTGTGGGATAATTTACTGTCACTAAAATGTAATACTAATGTGGATTCTTTAAACCAAATATAATAGTGAAATTATATGTTCCCAACCAGGACCTCATGGATGGTATGCAAGCACTCTTACCACAGAACACCCCCCACCTCAATTTCTAGTGCTCAAGATTGTTATAATATGTTTTGCATCAAGGTACCAATAGCCTGATATCATAACAAGGGCAAATGCGAAAGGATGAAGTAAAATGAAAATACTGATGCAAGATAGAACTTTGATATTCTAGTCACAGCACTGCAGCCTTCTTCCTTTTTCCCAGACCCTTATTAACTTCTTCTGGTACATAAACCCCTTTACCCCATCACTACAAACATTAACTTGGCAAGAATAACCTGCTGAGGGTTTTATCTCTTACTAATTTTAACCACAAATTTTCTCATACAATCAATTCCACCAAGCTAAAGTTCAAAATGCAACTATATACTGAAATGAAATCAATTATCTTTGCTCCACAGTCACATCTGAGAAGATATTTAAAAAATTTTATAGAGTATTAACACTTAGTAAGTATTCAAAAATACTCAACTATCTTACTTCAGTATAAGCAATAGTATCTGTCAGTAAATGAACTGGCAAAAGTCAGAAAAAATAACACTATAAGACTTTAACACTGTACCATTTTAAAATTTTCATGGACATGTAACCTACGTTTATTGTTACTAGCTGGAACCTCCTAACAAGCTACACAAATAATTTAATCTTTAAAAATTCCTATTTAACTTTAAAGCATATACATTTTGTATGGCATTTTATAATGTTTATAATGAAAGGTTTCCTCTAAAATAAAACAAAATAAAAAGTGGTAAACATTAAACACAAATCAGTAAAAAAAAAAGTTTGAAAGACTAGCAAAAATTATAAGCCTCAACAATGTACACCAAGGTAAACAAAGTATAAACTTAAAAAACAAGAAAGTACTTTAAACCATTTTTCAGTGGCAAAGGATATGATTAAACATAAAAACAAAACTGAGGCAGGCAGGGTAGTACACAGCCTGTAATCTCAGCACTCTGGAAAGCTGAGGCAGGAGAACTGCCAAGTTCAAGCCAAGCCTGGGCAATTTAGAGTCTTAGTGATACCCTGTCTCAAAAATAATATGAAATAAAATTAATTTTAAAAAAAAAAGAAAGAAAGAAAAGAAAAGCGCTGAGGATACAGCTCTGTGAAAGTACTGGATTCAATCCCCAGGACCACAAACAAATGAAAAAACAAGGTATCTATTGAGATGACAAAAAAAAAAAAAAAAAAAAAAAGAAACAAAAAACCAGTATTTTATTTCTGAAATCACTTGCAAACATGAATTTGGTATTTTAAATATAAATCTTAAATGTATATAAAAATGGGCACTTTTTGGTGAAATGAACATATGTATATTTTGGAAAATAAGGTCTCTTTGCTACAACATTTTGTAGAGGAAACTACATAATAGAATAAAAACATCATTCAGCTGCCTGAATCATCTTTATTGGTGTCTGATGTGCATGCCCTTTTCAAAGGAGCAATTTAGATATTAATAGTAGGATCAAAGGATAAGCTGATAATCTTAAAGTAAACATAAAATTGGACCATTTAAAAACATCTATTTAGTTGTTTTTGTGGTGCTGGGTATCAATCCCAGGGCCTTACATATGCTAGGCACATAAAAACTTTCTCTGATCTCTAAAGATATCATGATTAAAAGTCACTTTTTCATTCTGACTTTCTAAATTTAACTTACCAAATTATGAAGTCTAATGTAAAAAAATTTACTCTTATTTCACCTCCCCTTAAATCATATAAACTGATAATGTTAGTAATGCCTGAGTAGCAATCTATCTTTCACCATTTTTGCCATGCAGATTTTTTTTCTATCTCCTCAAAATATACTGACAACTATACAGAATAGCCAACTATGGAAACCAATATTTGAGATATTTCATGTTCTGTCACATTAGAATTCATCTCTGTCCCTGATCCTTATTTTTTGCATATATAATAATTGCATATTCAATCAAGAAAGCAAAGAAATATCTAAGTTTACCAAATATTTGGATAAACTGCTGTGCAAAATACTTTAATAAATGTTTTTCTTCTAGAAATTCATCTGAATAAATACTAATGTGAGTACCAGCACCACAGATTGTTTTTAGGAGGACCTTCCTTTCGAAAATAAGCTTAAGTAACAATACCTAAATGGAATAAATCAGAGGCCCAAACAAGAACTTAGGACATGCACAATCCTACTCAGGTATTCCAAACTCATTAGTAAAGCTACATGTCTGCAAGAAAAATCTTTAAGAGATAAGCAGACACTTTCTTTGGAAAACACTATTGTATTTAGGACTGAACCCTATGGCTCCTATTTTAAAAACATGCTTATTACTGATAACAAATGCAATGCATCTCAAACTTTTATGACTGTCTCCAAGTCATCTAAACAAGCCCAAATGTGTACAACAACCCTGGCTGGTAACATTCTTAACGCATTATGCCAAGGAAGAGTAAAATCAATTTGAAAATGTACCATAACAAGCACTAAAATACTTACTGGCATAATCAGGACATGTCTTTATCCAACTTATAAATTTGGACATTTTCTTATTGCACACATTCAATTTAAAGCTTATCAAAACAAAGGCAATGCATCCATCCCTACTTCCAGAATTTTAAATTCATTTTGGATGACTCAAAGAACTGAGAGATTAAAAGCATTTTTCAAAAGCTTCTGCTAAAAAGCTTGACAGTTCCAAAGAAAAACAAAACAAAGTCAATGGGACATCGATTAATACTCTTAGGCCAACTTAGTACATCTTAGCATTTACAAAAGGTTGCTTTCAACTAGACAAAAACATTTCTTTGCCTAGTATGAAACACTGTATGTGTTCAAAACTAAAAATCTGACCCAAGCCAGGACAGGCTACCAAATTTAAGGCAGAAGTCATTCATCTCTTTATGGGAAAAGCTGCCAAGTTTATGGGCTTTTCTGTAGATTCTCTGAGCAAAAGATTTACCTCACAAATACATTTTAAGCACCAGTTGGAAACAATCTAGAGCCCATTTTGATTTTGCATTGGTTATAGCTCTTAGTATAATACATTATTAAAAATATCTAGCTGCTTAAGACTATTCATTAAGAACTGTTTAGAAATACCACAGGCCACTTATAATAAATAGCCTTTCAAACATGGCCTTATTTTATTGAATCAGGAGTTTTGTTTTTCTTGTGTCAAGCAATTTTCTCTTTCCCTGTAAAGTTTAGAAAAATACTTTATAATGCTTTTTTTGAGAATTTCAATGAAGTCGAAAACAGAATTTGGACAGTTTAAGGATTTTTGAAACTTTATCCCAAAGTGCCACAAGGAATAATTTTATTTTTTTTCAAAAACAGAACATTTTCTTTTTTTTGAGGGGAGGGGAGCATTATTTTCATTTGGAAGGTAAGATACATTTGACTTGAAAGTGAGGCTTGACTTACTCTGTCCAAATTCAAACACATAAAAGTAATACTAAATGAAATGGGAGAGGCTATCCTTTTTATGGAGATAAAGTGACATACAAAAATTAGTACTCTCTTCCTAAACTAAGAAATGCTTTTGTTAGAAAACAATAATGTATTCTATTTTTATTTTAATTGCTTTAAAAAGTTATTAATTTCTTTTTCATAAGGTTTTAGAAGTTAAACAACTCAACTAGATAGATTTCTACTTCAAAATACATTTATCTTTGGAAAGCAAGATAAAAGTTGTAAAAACATTCTATTCAGAGAATAAAATGCAGTGATCTGAAATATGGGTGAACATATTTTACACAAGGAGTAAATACTTAGAGCCATTCAAATATATTTATAAAGAGAATGAAAAGGTACCTAAAATAGTGTTTTTACATATAAAATTTTATATTAAAATATTGCTCATAATAAATAAGAGGTGTTACTATGAATTCCATTTCCCTCTTAAAAATTGTCTTTAGTAGTTCAATCTGAGTTTGTTAATCTACTGTTTTGACAGGTGACTTACATAAAAATGTTTCATAAAATCACATTGTAACAGTATATTTAAGTAGTCACACATGGTAAAAGTTAGGGAGGGACATTTAGTAATTATGGGAAAAAGATTCCCAAAATGAACCCTAGAGGATCAGAGTATAATGATCTGCTTTATTAGACAAAAATGTTAAGTACCGTCTTATGCCCATAAAGTAATGGACCATAACTTGCTTCAAACCTCTTCAAAGTGTGCATGCTTAGCAGACCAGAAAAGGACAGAGTATATGAAGTATGTGTAAATTTAGTTCAGTTGTTCATTCCTGTTCGTCCTACTTGCAGGCACGGTAACTTGGAATAGTTCTTGAGAAGCTGTTCAATGGCAACATGACGGACATGGAGCTGTGATGTCAAAGAATCTTTTTCTTGCACTTGATGTGTTAACTCTTCAAAAACTTCTGTAAAATTTAAAAGCATTTCGTTTTTAATACAAGAAAGCTATTCCTGTGACTTATGTTTTAAGTAACTGAGTACTCTTCCTGAAATAAATGCATTGGGTGAATTTAGCAACTGATTTGACATCAAGGCTGACTTGACATCAAATCAGCTGTTTTCTCCTGATAATCCTTCAAATTCTCTAGATTTCATAGTGCTCACTGGACTACATCTTTCTTCTCCATTAGTTGAAACTTAAAAGGAGTCATAAGCAATTGGTTATGGACATACACAGTAGATATGGTCCTTATACGAAAATACAGCTATTTTTTAATTAGAATCTATAAGTAAGTTTAATCAGTATTTAATATGACTTATCAACAAGAAATGCCCATTATTATCCAGGTTTGCATACTCTTTTAAGAGGCTTTGGAATCAAATGCAGGCAAGACTTTAGTTTCAGTTTCTCTTTGTATGTAAGATTGAAGTTAGTAAACACCTTACAGTTACTCTTGGATTAAATGAGATAATATCTGTAAAGTACACACATAATTACTTGATAAATATAAATTGCTGTTGTTATTATTTTCATTATTCTCAAAACTGTGGTTAGGAAAGATCACTAGTTTTATAGTTAAATGGGAGTTAGAATCCTTGAACTGCTACTGACTGAATGCATAATCTTTATAAGCAATTTAAGTTTCTGAAGTGCAATTTCCTCACCTAAATGGACATAAATTGTAAAGAAAAGGAAAGGAGACAATTAGGGAAGTAAGACAACAACTATCAACATATTAGCATCATGATGTTAAAGAATTAACATCTGATGTAAGGAATTAGTACTAGCTTTTCTTAAAGGTGTGATAATAAGGTAGTGATTGCTTTTTAAAAAGTTATCTTTCAGAGAAAATCCTGCCGTATTTATGGAGAACAGTGTGTTACCTGGGATCTGTTTCAAAACAATTCATACTAGGGGTAGGGATGGGACAAGGGGAGTGGCTCCAGGTATAGAGAAAGAAAAAATTAGCTATGCTTTTGGATAATAGTTGAAGCTGGTGAAGATGGATCAAAGGGTTCATATACTAGTCCCACTTCTTTTCTGTGTTTGGATTTTTTTGTAATTAAAAACAAAAAAGAAAAGTAAGCCAGGACTAATACTACCCGCCTTAAAGAACTGCCAGGATGGGGCCGGGGATTTAGCTCAGTGGTTTTGCTGCCTGCTGCGCAAGCGCAAGGACCCGAGTTCGATCCCTGGTACAAAAAAAAAAAAAAGAACTGCCAGGGAGGTCACTCCACAGTGCCCTGCACAGAAATGCATAGTAAAATGTAAGAAGTAGAGAACAACTCTAGTCTCCATTTTTACCTAGGAAAGAAAGACATATTTCTATTGCAATTCTTAGTCCTTTGCTCTGGGAACTAAGAGGTTTAAATACACAGTTTCCAAATTTAAATGCTGCTGAAGCTAATGGTGTCCTCTCATAGGGGATTTTCTGTATCAAAATTTTCACACGTGAAAAAACACTCAAGACTGATTCATTACCCTGGATTTGCCGTTGGAGCTTTGTATTCAGTTGTTTTACCTCATCAAGGGTCATTGAATTCACTGAAACATGAAAATATAGTCATTGTTACCATTACAATCTGGGAAAATAAACTAATATAATTATGATAACCTATTAAAAGAAACTGCAGTTATCTGCTAGTACAACATTCAGTAATACCCCAATATTCATTCATTAACTCTCACAGTAAGGAGAAGTTTTCGAATCCTGACCATAACCCCCAGTAAGAAACATATTTTAGATCAGTACCACTAACACCACCAACTTCAACCTGAAGCAAAACTTTCATCAAACCATAGTAGTAGTTTTGCTGGTTTCTGATATCTCTTATTCTATTTCAGGTTTTAAAAACTGCTAATCACTAGCCATCAAGCTGATTTTAATTAAGCACTACAGTTTTTGAACTGCAGTTTGAAAACGTTACTTAAAGTATTGTGGAAATTGTTTGCAAAATCATTTGTTCACGATTTAAGGTTGCTTAACTTAAGCAACCTTAGATTACTCATATGTACAATCAAGAGGTTGTATGAAAGATATTTAGGTCCCTTTTGGGTCTAAAATAATTTGATTTAAAGTCAATTACAATTACCTCACTTTCTCTGAATTTTTATAAAAGCAGATATACATAAAATGAGCCACTTTTTAAATTTTTAAAATAAATGTACACATTACCTTTTAGCCCTTAGTAAAAGTCTGATTTTTGCTTTTAAATTGCACCCCCAGTCATTAGTCCTGTGGGGATTATCAATGTAACAATGAATATTCATCAGTAGTTGAAGCTGAACTTCTAAACTACCTGGACATTAAATTGCCAATTCAATTTGCTGATTCCATTCACTTTAATCATTTAAAATAGCAAAACAAGTGACACAACTGCTAAACATCAATGTGTAGGACATACTGAAGAGTACTCCAGAAAAAATGGTTCATTATAAGTACCTCTCATTTTTGCTAAGGTGAATCTGTCATTCAAATACTATATTTAACAGAGCTGATTCTACATCAAAATTCTCGACATATTATACGTATAAAAAATGTAGCAATCACTCTACCCCCCAAAAAACCAAACTGGAAACCACAGAACTTTTACCTTTCTTCCGGTTTTACTTACATTCCTCTCTGCTGTAATGCAGATTCTGAGTCTGGACATCGGCCTCTGGATGGAAGATGACCTCTTCTTTTTTCTGTGCCTGGCTGCAAGTGCGAGGCCACAATACACTGTTATGGCATAAAGTGGCACCTGGATCTTGTAACATAGCGAGCCCAAAGTCTGTATTTTCTCTCTGCTCCAAAATTCCTTGTGTACAGTTTGAGATGTCACTTGCACTTCCATCTATCCATCTTGCAGAATATTTTGGTACTTGAGAGTCAAATTGTGGGAGTAATTTCTTATCTGGTTTATGCCTAAAATCAAACACGTGATTCTGGGGGCTTTTAGAACTTTCAGAATCTGAGTCCAGATCTTTATTTTGTGCATACTGTACAATCCAGTTTATCTTCTTAGTCAGAATAGTTTTAACTCCTTCATAAGTACTTTTGGAAAGCTTAGATCGAGGACAATCTTGGTTTGCAATTAAATGGTATTTTTCAAAACAGTCTTTATGGCCCCTTAATGATTTGGTGTGCAAAAGATTAGATTTTGGTACTCCTATGGGAAAAAAAGAAAGAAAAGACTTAAAAATTTTACATTCTTTTCTAAATTGCTTGAAGAATATATAAATCTTAGTAAAACACAAGTTTTGCTAGTCCTTGATAGAGGAAAAATACCAAAGAACAATGACAATCTTAAAAGGTGGCCTAATAATTTGTGCTTCAATTTAACTGTACATACAGTAATATTCTTACATATAGCAAAGAATTTCTGAAAACTTAGTGATTCAATTATATATAACCTGAGTCCAGACACATGTCATTGCACACAGTATGAAAAAAATAGTACTGAAGCCAAGCAGTGTCACATGATACCCATAATCCCAGCTACTTGAAGGGTGAGGCAGGAGGACTGTGAGTTCAAAGTCAGTCTAGACAACTTAGCAAGGCCCACTTTCAAAAGAATTTTTAAATCCAAAAAGGGCTGGAGTTACAGCTCTGTGTAAGGCACTGAGTGAGTTTAACCCCAGTACTGAAAAAAGCAAAAAACAAAAAACTCAGAACTGCTGAATACAGCAAATTACTGTCATAGACTCTTGGCCTTTACATTAGTGTTTTTATTACTAATTTTCCTGGCATAAACACTTAGAAAATTTCTTTTATAAGGCTTGATAGCCAGGCTTGGTGGTACATACCTGTAATCCAGCCCTTGGGAGGATGAGGCAGAATTGCTGTGAGTTCAAGGCCAGCTTGGGCTACAGTGAGTTGGGCCAGTCTGAACTGCATAGTGAGACCCTGTCTCAAATCTCCCCACCCCGAAAAGCTCAATAACAGAAATGCTCATTTCTTTTTCCAAAAAAGACACTGATAAATCATGTCTAAATTACTAGTTATATTTTTACTGAGGAGAGATAAACCAGAACTAGAAAATACACATTAAGAGTTGAAAAATTAACGAACTACTTAGATTTACTCTTTTAAGAAAATGAGTCATCTAACATTTTTCAAATTTCCATTTTATATTACTAAAACCTTATTAAGATAACTTTTATCTTCTAAGGCGATGAATTATAGTTATTACTTACAGAGCAGTAAATTCAACCTGTCAAGACAGTTTGACAGGCAGGTTAATTATTCTACTCATATTCATCATATACTATAAATAATGGAAATATTTATACAATTTTTATTCCTCCCAAATTCTTAGTAGGCCTTAAGTATACTAAATCATTTTTTAAAATATACATTAAATTTTCAAATTATTTCAAAATGCCGAATACAATCATACATTTTCATAAATTCAAGCCATTATTATTAAACAGCACTGCCTTTACACAGGGACATGGAGCTGAAAATTAAGGCCTGCCAGAACTGACCAGTCTAATCAGCTTGCTTTGAAACTGGAGTAAATGGAGAGCCATTTAGATACTAGGTTTAAATTTTTTTACATGACTCATCAGAAAAAATTACATTTCACATGCATCCTTTAAAACTGAAGAGTAACCGTAAGCTAAGTGCAGCATATCTCAAATACTAATATGTATGTGATTAACTGTTCTCATGAGGTATACTCAAGTATTTAAGCCTTATTTCTTCCACTGAAAATAAAAATTGTTTAAAACTGAAACAGAATTTCATATACTTTGCTACTTATAAAGCAAGTACAAGTTTTATTTACTACTTTTCTATTTGTACTACAATTGTGTGTATGTATATTTCTACGAGTAATTGTCTAATTAGGTCAAGTTTCCAGTGACACTAGAAAACTTAAATGACAGATGAAAGAATAATGTGGTCTTTCAAAGTGAAAGGTATTTTTATTATCTACTGTTGCTTCTTAATGATTTATTTAACTTTTCTTTCTCCATAAATGATTTTGCTTAACCTTTACTTAAAATCCCTAACTTAAAAATAGGAATCAAGGTAATCACAAGATTACATACAGCTAAGTAATCTGTGAGAGGAACAACAAATCTCAGAGCTAAATAGTTGACTTATTATGAAAATACATGAATTGCAAAATAAATTACAAATTATTTCAGACATTGAGAAAAATGTTCCCTATAAAAACAGAAAGTATCAAGCACAAGAGTTCTGAATGCACATGTTGTATAGCTTTCTACTGGACATTTCCATTTAGCCATCCCTACAGGCTCCTCAAACACACTAAATGAAACTCCTCTGCCTCCATTCTCACCTCTCGAACTTGAACCTCTACTGAATTTGGCTTAAGGAAAAACCTGAGTGTCCTTTTTTTTTAAAGGCTGGCCTTCAAGTCACTATGTATCCCAGCTGGCCTCAAACTCATGACAATCCTCCTTCCTCAGCCTTCTCTGAGTGCTGGGATTACAGGCATGTGCCACTGCCTGGCCTGAGAGTCCTTCTTAAAGGAACCTAAAACTTTCTCTTTCCCCCAAACTCAGATGTTCTGCTTCCATCTGTACATTTTTCCCCCCATAAAATCGAGGATATACATCTTATATCCTTCTGCTTTGTTCCATTACCACTCCCACTGCAAATCTGGTCATTACCATCTCCTATCTAGTTCTTACTTCCTTTGAGCTTTTTCTAACAAATACATCCGAGTTAGTTTATCACACTAAGTTTTTTTAAAAAATTCTTTTAATGGTACATTTTAGGTATACAACACATTTACATTTCTCATTGGGAACTTGTACCTTTACATGATGCATCTTGGTTCTTATTTTTTCCCCATTCCTAGCCCTCCCTTCACCCCCTCCACCCTTCCCTATTTACAGACTTTGTTTCCATTTTTTCCATTTCTCATAATTTTTCCTTTCCTTTCTTTTCTTTCCCCTGCCCCTCCCACTACCCCTACCCCTTTGGACCTTTTCTTGGAAAGAAGGGAATGGAATTAATATCACACTAAGTTTTATAACTGCCTCTTTATTAGCTTTTATTTTTTTGCTAGGTTCTATGAAAAAAGGGACCAAGGCCAGGGATTTAGCTCAGTGGCGCCGTACCTGCCTTGCAAGCGCAAGGTCCTGAGTTTGATTCCCAGTACCACAGAAAAAAAAAAAAAGAAAAAAAAAAAAGGACCACTGCTATCTTACTCATATGCATCCTCAGTGTCATGATGTCTGGCACAGAGCAGGTCTTCAAGAAAAAGTAGTTAAATGCATAAGGAAAAATTAAAACTATATTTAAAATAAACCCAAACAAACCTTATTACCACTTATTTGTGGTCTACTGCAATGCAGTTTTACCCATCCTACCAAGAGAACCATTTTATGCAGTTCTGTGAGGCTGGTGAAGAATGAAGGGCATCTTTCAGTGAAGTTACTATTGTATTTAGTCTAACAGACTATTGGTCTAAGGAAATAATGACTGGCAATAATACAGAAATGTCATTCCTGTGGCATGAGTCACTCTGTCAGAAAATCATAAACTTCTACTTCATTATATATTTTTAATTTTAAATTTTTTCATTATATATTTTAAAATAGAAATTTACACATACTACACAAAGGGGGCTATCTTATGTAAAGGGTAGCTCATTTCAGATCTGCATCTCTTCTTTTGCTAATCAATATTTAAAATGACTTAATTTTAAAGTTCAATTTGAAAATATTTGTTTCATAACTTTAAAAATACCATGCATAGCACAGAAAATTATAAATTTGAAAAATACATCAACTACTTCATATAAATGAACAAATTAGTTTTTAATCTGGAAAAGAATGTGAGTACCTCACTTAATTTATAACTGCAATATACACGTCATTTTATAAACTCCAAGTGATTTTTTCCACCATATCATTTCAAATTAACATGGGAAAAACAACCATTGCTATTATAAGAAATTATCAGTGAGTTTCCCAAATGACTTTTCAATTTTGAGTGCATTTACAAGTGTAAATAGTTCTGAGCACTAATTTGTTTTCTAAGCAGCTTGAAAGGGAATGAAGTTAAATGCAATTACACAAATCAATAATTTTGAGGAGCTAGAGTTTTAAGAGATTTCAAGGTCAATTCAAAGCTTGCACTATAATTTCCTTGCTAATAAAGAATTTAAATGTCAATGTAACTGACATCCTAATTTTAATGAAAACTTCCTTAAAACATAGCTCAAAGATGTCCACATCACTTTTTCTGTGATGTCACCACGACCTTATTTGGCAACCATAATTGCTAATTTTTTAAAAATATCAGTTTCTTTTGGATAAAGGGTATTTCAGAAATGTCTGCATTTCTGTATAAACTGGTATTTTAAAATTTAAACTGTTCTTATTCAACAATTTTCTTTTATCTTTTCTCACATTTATCTTGGATTTTTAATATACACCATTCTTAAACACTCCATAAACCTTCCCACTAACCCATCTGGAATGATGTCCTCACACTTCTATTCTTTTTTACAGGTATGTGCGATGCTAAGGCTTAAACCCAAGAAAGACTTCAGATGCTAAACAAGTGCTCTATCACTCAGCTATATCCCCAGACCTACCTGACTTCTATTCTCTAAAATTGTTTTAAGCTTGGTTAAACCCACAGAAGAGCAAAATCTTCTCAAATGTAGATCTCTTATCTCTAGTTAGCTATCACTGTGACCCTTTTAAGATGGAGATTAGTTCTTATATTTAATTTATTCTGGTAGTACATTTTTTTCCCCTAACAAAAATGGTATTCCAAAGGGCATTGAAAAAAAAAAGCCATAAATAACAAAACACTTATTAGCTGGGTGTGGTGGTACACACCTGTAATCCCAGCACCCAAGAGGGTGAGGCAGGAGGACTGTTGTGAGTTTGAGGCCAGCCTGGGCTAAATAGTGACAGCCTGTCTCAAAAGGAAACAAAAAAAGTTCTACCACGTACCCCACTATCTTTTGCTTTTACCCATAACCTCTAGGAAGAAGATCTTGTATGTGATTTCATGGTAATAAAGTAAGCTATCTTTTCCTGATGGTTCACCAGCTGGTAACTGTCAAACAGGACTGTCTACACTTATGCTGCACATTTTTTACTTCATATATAATAGAATCACATCATCTGACTGGCTTATATAACATGTGTAATTGTTGTCAACTAGACATTTTCA